AACGCAAAACGTCAGCAAAATAGGCTCAATTGTTTGTGCCTTAAAAATTTTCGTCTGTACTGCTTCAGTTCCGGAGATATTAAAAGAATATTTATGTCATTCTGGGGTCACCCAGCCCCCCCCCCATGCTCCGAATTCACCCCAAATAGTCTCAATCGTCTGTGCTGCTTTCGTTTTTAAAATATTAGACATTTAATTATGGTGCGGTGACGTCACCAGCCCCACACATGCTCCAGTGTTCATTCAAAATGGTCTCAATCGTTTGTGCTGCTTTTTTTTCTATTTCAATATATTAGGGATTAAGTTCTATGAGATGATGTCACCAGCCCCACACATGCTCCAAATTGACCCGAAATGGTCTAAATCGTTTGTGCCGATTTTTGCCGACTGTCTCTTTGTTTTTATTTTAACAATACAGTTGAAGTAACAAGGTACACAACAGTAATACTGCGTAGTAGCTCTCTTGCATTGTCCATGGATTGTGACTTGAGAAGCTGTGCCATTGACCTCACTAATAAATCTTTAATGCCATGTGATTTTTTTTTTCTTCAAGTAGTCCCACTGGCAGATCTTGATGCAGTGTGCAACATCAACCCGTACAAAACAAGGTGGCACTTTTGCTGACACTTTACCGAGTAAGACACCACAACACTCATTGATGTAGGTCTTCAGATCAGGATGAGGAGTAAAAGCCTTGACCAGAGCTCCAAGTAAAGCCAGAGAAAAGTCACTCACAACCTCTTTTGGAATTGGTGCACCTGCACGTATCCATTCTGTTAGCCAATGTGTTATTGCATTAACATTGTGTTCTTTTAATATCTCCAAATCCAAAGCAGCACAAACGAAACCTTTATCAGCACAAACCAGCGCATACGATTGAGACTATTTTGGGTTAATTTGGAGCATGTGGGGGGCTGGTGACGTCCCGCACAATAATTCAATGCCTAATATTTTAAAAACAAAAGCAGCACAAACGAAACTTTTATCAGCACGAACAAAACTTTTATCAGCACAAACAAAGCACAAACGATTGAGACTATTTCGGGTTAATTCGGAGCATGTGGGGTGGGGTGGGGTGGGGGGGGTTCGCTGGGTGACCCCAGAAAGACTTCACGCTGGTCCATCGTGAGTATCATGTCATGGGATCACGGTAGGTAAATTTAGTTCTATTACTCGAGCTAAAATATCTTGCATGCTTTCCAAATTGAGGTTGTAACACCTGTCTGTTCTTAGGGTCCTTGATTCTGCATGCGTTAAGGCGGGCTGAGTGAGATGTGGTCATTTCGGAATAGCGCCTCCCCCTCACTTACGGAGCCACGTTGCTGCTTGGTTTTGCTGCTTTGGGGCTGCTTTTTGTTACTTCATGTTTTGATTTTGTTTTTTGTTTATTGGTTACGGTCGCTGAGATCAGTTTTCTTTAACTCAGCGGTATTGTAACTGTTTTTGTAAGTTGTACTGATATTGCTATGTGGTAGTAGTGATTTTGGTCAGCTTTGGTAAACTTGCTACTTGTAATCAGCTTGAGTGAGCGTTATCTGTTTTTGTGACGGTACGTGTGTTTTTTGTGTTCTTTTGTTTGTCTGCTTTGAGCAAATTTTAATTGATTTTGTGTCTTTTTGGTTTTTTTCTCCTTGGAGGAGCTGAGTGCTTCCTGAGGCTGGGGGGAGGTCCTTTTCTGCACCTTGGCTGTACTTAATTAAGGGTTGTTATTATTGCTGTGTTTATTTGCCATTAGTTTTGTGGGTATGATTCTAATTAGTGGGGTGCTTTTCCTTTTTGTAAAGCTGGTGCTTCCGTACCAGCCTGCCCTTCATACAGGAAGCCTCAGTCCTCCTAGGATCATTTGTTAAATCATTTTGTGACTGTTTTATATTGTATTTATGGTTTCCCTTTTATAATTCTTTGCCATTCTTTTTACCCTTAAAATAAAATGTTTTGTATGGGAACCCATGCCTCTTGCCTGTTTTAAGTGGAACGTACTTGCGTGTCCTTATTTGGGTTATTTTCCCCGTTTATTTGTGGTGACGTAGTTGGTCTTAATCGAGCTAAAAGAGCCACACTGCTACATTTGCATTTCAGCACAGCACTGCTGAATTCTCAGATCTGATTGGTCAGAAGTGTTGATTAATTAACAGCTCCCCAGCCTCAGACAGATATAAATACACTGCAAGTACACAGCAGTCTCTGTGTTTGAGTACAGAACTAGAACGGTTTTATTTATTTATATGAACCCTTACTATGCTTTATGAAGGAAATATGTATTTGACCCCTCTGCAAAACATGACTTAGTACTTGGTGGCAAAACCCTTGTTGGCTATCACAGAGGTCAGACGTTTCTTGTAGTTTCTCACCAGGTTTGCACACATCTCAGGAGGGATTTTGTCCCACTCCTCTTTGCAGATCTTCTGAAAGTCATTAAGGATTCGAGGCTGATGTTTGGCAACTCGAACCTTCAGCTCCCTCCACAGATTTTCTATGGGATTAAGGTCTGGAGACTGGCTAGGCCACTCCAGGACCTTAATGTGCTTCTTCTTGAGCAACTCCTTTGTTGCCTTGGTTGTGTGTTTTGGGTCATTGTCATGCTGGAATACCCATCCACGACCCATTTTCAATGCCCTGGCTGTGGGAAGGAGGTTCTCACCCAAGATTTGACGGTACATGTCCCCGTCCATCATCCCTTTGATGCGGCAAAGTTGTCCTGTCCCCTTAGCAGAAAAACACCCCCAAAGCATAATGTTTCCACCTCCATGTTTGATGAGGGGATGGTGTTCTTGGCAGCATTCCTCCTCCTCCAAACACGGTGAGTTGAGTTGATGCCAAAGAGCTCGATTTTGGTCTCATCTGACCACAACACTTTCACCCAGTTGTCCTCTGAATCATTCAGATGTTCATTGGCAAAGTTCTGGCGGGCACTGCAGAATTTCTGTCCTTCATGGCGTAGTGTGTTACCAATTGTTTTCTTGGTAACTATGGTCCCAGCTGCCTTGAGATCATTGACAAGATCCTCCTGTATAGTTCTGGGCTGATTCCTCACTGTTCTCACGATAATTGCAACTCCACGAGGTGAGATCTTGCATGGAGCCCCAAGCTGAGATTGACAATTATTTTGTGTTTCTTCCATTTGCGAATAATTGCACCAACTGTTGTCACCTTCTCACCAAGCTGCTTGGCAATGGTCTTGTAGCCCATTCCAGACTTGTGTAGGTCTACACTCTTGTCCCTGACATCCTTGGAGAGCTCTTTGGCCTTGGCCATGGTGGAGAGTTTGGAATCTGATTGATTGATTGCTTCTGTCGACAGGTGTCTTTTATACAGGTAACAAGCTGAGATTAGGAGCACTCCCTAGATTTAAATTTAATTAATTTATTTGTTTATTTGTTCCTTTAAGAATTTGTCTACACAGTTTTATGAATGACAATGTTTGACGAAATACTGTATTGTATGAGTGTAAGAGTAAAGGTAGAGTGGGTTGTCCACAAATCGTAGGGTTGGCGGTTCGATTCCGGCCTGGGTCCTTGGGCACTTCGAGTAACCCCAATGAGCAACCCCAAGTTGCTCCTGATGGCAAGCTAGTGCCTTGCATGGCAGCTCTGCTACCGTGTGTGTGTGTGTGTGTGTGTGTGTGTATGTGTGTGTATGGGTGAATGAGACACAGTGTAAAGTGCTTTGGATAAAAGCGCTATATAAGTGCACATTTACCATTAATTATTGTAAAATACATAACCCATACTGCATGCAGATCTCCCCAGCCTCAGACAGATATAAATACACTGCAAGTACACAGCAGTCTCTGTGTTTGAGTACAGCAAAGGAATCATGAGCTGATTCCTTTCCTTTTTTCCTTCTTCTGATATCCTCTGTGCCCTGTGAGTAAACACATCTCTCCAGACCTTACTCACCTTTTTATATGCTCCATATTTCAGTCTGAGTTGAAGTGAAGTGTGTCTAATAGCTTCTGTGTGTTTTACTCCTCTCCTCTTCTCAGATGTGCATGGCATCAGTCTGACCTCATCTTCTGCTGAGGTTAAACCTCCCAGAGCCTCAGTGCAGTTGTCCTATCAGAGTATTGGCTATGCCCTCACTAGCTACGGCACAGGCTGGATCAGACAGACTCCAGGAAAAGGCTTGGTGGAAGGTGGAAACATAGACTCTGGAGCTTTGTGATGTGCTTGCTGCTTGTTAGTGTCAGTGTCGTTTAAAGGACTAATATGTTTATATTGTGGGGAAAAAGAACAAAGTTAGTTTGTTACAAAATATCATAATCAAGTCCGAACATAAAGACAGGGGAGGAATTAGATAGACACACACACATGCACACACACATATGCACACACACGTGTGAATATAGCATAGCCAATCCACCAACCAGTAAGTCTATGAGTGGTGGGAGAAACCCTGGAGGAATCCTGTACAGACACAGGGAGAAAATGCAGCTCCATATAAACAGTATCCTGAGCTCAGGATCAAATCAGGGACCTTGTAGCTGTGAGGTAAACTGGTCTACATGAACCATACACATGCACTATATATGGTAAATCCACTTGGAGGAAGATGTAGGGATCATAATTGGATGAAGCTGCTCCGTGCAGACTTTGTATTTTTTTATATGAAGAGTTTTTGGATTTTTTTTTTTTTTGCTGATTTCAAATAATTTCTTCTGAAAACATGGCCTTGAGAGTTCAAAGTGATGGCCCAGTATAAATGATGTACTACAGTGGTATAATTTCCCATGTTAATTGGGACAGTAACATCTTGGTCCTTGGTCATTTTGGTCCTCAACAATGAGGTTTTCTGACTATAATCTGAAGATTTCTTATATATATTTTTTTATTTATAGTTTTGCTATGGACACTTAAATGTGCATGTGCAATTCTTACTGGCTTACTGATTTTTCTACAGATTGGGGCCATCAACAATTTTATGAATGTTGTTACTTGTCATTTTTCACAGTTTCAGAAATTATTTTTTTTAAATTAAAATTTTTTAAAAATACACGTGGGGGCGCACGGTGGCTTAGTGGTTAGGACTTTCGCCTCATACCTGAGGGTCCAGGTTTCGATTCCTGCCAGAGCCATGTGTGCAGTGGGGGTTTCCTACGGTACTCTGACCCTGAAAAAGAGTAAGTGATAGAAGATGGATGGATGGATGGATGTATACGAGTGAGAAATTAATTTTGTGTTGTGTATCTATATAGACTCTTTAGGTTTCTGAAAGGAATAGAGTGATGGGAATAATGATAAAGTACTGAGGGATCGAGTAAAAAGGGATGAGTGTCAAGGGATGTGGGATGGCCAACATAGTGTCACTGAGTACTACTTACAAATCTGAGAGTTTGTGTGTCGTGGCATCATTAGATATTTGACACTTCCAATAAGCACTGTAAAGTACAGCTCTGCTGTAGGCTCCCACACGTCCACATCCCACATACTGATGAACCCAAACAGGCTCTCCATAAATCCTCCCTCACACTTTAGGAATATCAGGGTAAAAATATGGGAAACAAAATGAGATAAAATAGTCCATGTTCTGAAACTACATTAAAGCATCACTTTTAAATCTCCTGTGAAGTCACTTACTGCTTCAGGAGCTGAGTCATTTGTGAAGTATACAAACTGAAGTAGCTCATAAACCACGTCCGGGAAGTTGTAATAGTGGAGCTGCACAGAAGAGAAAAATTGCTTGATATATTAAAGTCCTGTTTTCTATATAATCAAAATCTTTCAGATTTAAAAATCTGTCATTTTAATCAGGCATTTGCAAGCTATCCAGAAGAAACCCCCAATGAGCACTGTTACAATCAATTTCTGATTTGAAGGACTTCTCAGGAATCGAATCAGAGACTCATAAGGCAGCTGCACACCAACCACAACCTGTTAAAACAAACAAAAAAAAATGTGTAACTCACTTTGGCTATAGTGTTCAACATGTCTACTCACTTTAAACCCTATCAAGAAGCAGTATATAAATCTAAACATGTCCAGTACTCCACTAAAGTTACACAGATGATGTATTGCATGGGGCAAATTTCCAAGTAGTGCATTTCCCAGTACCATTTTCATCACATACATTTTATTTTAATATTTGTCCTTAATTCTTAGCAGGCTGTGATTATTACAAAAATAAAATTATCTATGAATGGTAGTTATTTCAATAGTTACTGTGTATACATTGCACTTGTGTGTTAAAATGTATGCTAATACAGTTTTCTTCACTGCCTAGTTACCTGTTATTGTTTTTATATTTAACCACTAAGACAGTAACTGAAAGTATGTTGCACAAAAATGAAAAAGTCCATGATCATTCTGAAATCACTTAGTTGTTAGCTGCTGCCAGATGCATCACAATCTTCTTTCCCACCACAAACAAGAAGTTTTGGTTGTGGATGCTAGCAAGCAGAGTCTGAATATAAGACAGCACACAATATAAGTTAAATCAGAATGTAATTTACCTGCACAATAACAGCAGCTAAACAAAGGTTTACTCTCAGAGAACACCTGACAGAGTGCGCACAAATTCAGGCCGATTTCAGTAACCAGACTCTCAACTAATTCAATGTTTCAGTTGCTATTCCCCTCATTGAGTGGCTGTAAAATTTACTGGGGCAGATTTAATGATTCATTGCTAATTTGGCTTGCAGGAGAGTGAGGAGAGCATTGCATTTTTGGAGTTGGAGGTCTCCTTTATTAGGTACAATCCTCTTTCCTGTTTTATAGGTGTAATGGTTCAATACATACATACACTACGCATTTATATCCCCTTTGTCTTAGCTCAGAGAGGGAGGTTACGTTCACTCTCTGAATCACTGTAGGGAGAGTTATAATCGCATTCCTTCATCCAATTGCAGGTGTCCACCTGATGTTATCATATACAGGTAAGTGCAGGTCACCTTTTTCAAGGTTGCTGTTAATTAAAAACAGACACAAACTGGACACAAGCTGCTGGGAGCTTCATCCTGTGACTTTCACTTCAATAATGAACTCAGAGCTTCTACTGTTGTAAATTATTACAGTCATGACCTACTATACATACATTTGTGACTGAAATTGTGACATCTCTATTTCAGATGTGGGATGTGTAGTAGAACTCACTCAGGTCACCTCAATGATGTTAAAGCCAGGAGATTCTTTAACCCTCAGCTGTAAAGTATCCGGCTAGTCTGTTACTGATAACAGTTACGCTACAGCGTGGATTCGACAACCTTCAGAAAAAACTCTGGAGTGGATAAACCACAATTGGAGTGGTGGCAATAATTATTATAAAGAATAAGCAACATTTCCTGAGATCTCACTTCTGTAAAATAAGGAGACTGATGGTAAAGGACATTAGACGTTGGATGTTAACCAACTTCCTTTATCTTAATTCTGATAAAACAGAAATACCTTTATTAGTCCCACGTGTAGATAGAAGTAATCATTCTGATTACATGGTCACTCTGGATGGTCTTTCTGTTTCATCATGTACAGCAGTTAAAAACCTTGGAGTGATTATTGATTATTATTGATTATTATCCAGTCTATCATTTGATGCTCATGTAGATAATAATACTAGGATAGCTTTCTTTCATCTCAGAAATATTTCTAAGATAAGAAATATATTATCACTACATGATGCGGAAATACTGGTTCATGCATTCGTCACCTCTAGATTAGATTACTGTAATGCCTTACTGTCTGGATGTTCCAGTAGGAATATAAATAAGCTCCAGTTAGTCCAGAATGCAGCTTCTAGAGTCCTAACTAGAACTAGAAAATACGACCATATCACCCCGATCTTATTCATGCTGCATTGGCTCCCAGTAAAATCTCGCATTACCTATAAAGTACTTTTATTAACCTATAAAGCACTAAACGGTCTCATTTAGATGCAGGCTATTTGACGGTACCCCAAATAATGAAGGCTACAGCAGGGGGAAGAGCCTTTGCTTATAAGCCCCAGTATTATGGGACAGTCTTCCAATTAGTGTTCGGGACTCAGACAGATTATATTTTTACTACTTCACAGTCATAATAATATTTTTTCTCCCTCTCTCCTTTTGCAGAGCCACACACGAATTTCTGGAGATACTGGAGATTCAGATCATTTCAGCCTCTGGATGGAGCTCAAGTCTCGAATCTTCTCAACTGGGACTGCGGCTGCTCCGAAGACCATACAGACTTCATGTACATCCATACTGTACTATTTCACACTGTCTGTTGTTACCCAGATGAGGATGGGTTCCCTTCTGAGTCGGGTTCCTCTCAAGGTTTCTTCCTTTAAAAATCTTAGGGAGTTTTTCCTTGCCACCGTCGCCACTCAGTGGCTTGCTCAGTTGGGATAAATTCACACCTTTAATATCTGTATACCGTGTTTATATTTCTGTAAAGCTGCTTTGAGACAATGTCTGTTGTAAAAAGCGCTATACAAATAAAATTTAATTGAATTGAATTGATGGTGTTTCTGAATTTTAGCAAGTTTCACCATATCAACAATTACACACTTTTTAAAAAGTCTGTTTATGTAGAACATCCACCATACAAGTTGTGTGTAAATTAGAATGATAAAGTATTACAATAAGCTAATTAATATAAACCTGTGATTCTCCTTTCTATAACTGTCATATCTGCTGTTATAGAAAATGAATCAACACCTTCTGACTAATCAGATTCAAGAATTCAGCAGCACTGTGGTGCAAGTCTATTTAATATCTTTATATATGTTTTTTGTGTAGCAAGTGGCTCATTTGCAACAACTACACCACACCAAGAACATGGGGAAACCAACCCAAACAAAGGCACACAGTTACGATCCACTTAGAACTGGCAAGAGGCATGGGTTTCCATACAAATATTAGTTTTATTTAAAGTTAAAAAGACTGACCAAGAATTATATATATATATATAATTATATATATATATATAAGACTAATTAGGATCACACCCACAAAACTCACTGCAAATAAACACAACAATAACGACCCTTGGTTAAGTAAATTCTAAGGTGCAGCAGACCCCCCCACACCTTCGGACGCGCTAGCTCCAACAAGGAAAGAGAAAAATAAAAAAAAAGAATGAATGCTAGTTATTTCAATAGTTGCTGTATGTACATTGCACTTGTGTGTTAAAATGTATGCAAATACAGTTTTCTTCACTGCCTAATTGCCTGTTATTGTTTTCATATTTAACCACTAAGACAGTAACTGAAAGTATGTTGCACAAATATGAAACAGTCCATCATCATTCTGAAGTCACCTGGTTGTTAGCTGCTGCCAGATGCATCACAATCTTCTTTCCCACCACAAACAAGAAGTTCTGGTTGTGGATGCTGGCAAGCAGAGACTGAATATAAGACAACACACAATATAAGTTAAAGCAGAGTGTAATTTACCTGCACAATGACAGCAGCTAAACAAAGGTTTACTTAAAGACAATGCCTAACGGAGTGCGCACAGCTTCAGGACGATATCAGTAACCCCTCTCTCTGATAAATGGTAGCTAGGAAACAAGAGGTGTAAATGCATAGTGTATATTAAACACACATTAAACCATTACACCAATATAAAAAGTGAAGAGGATTGTACCTAATAAAGGAGACCTCCAACTCCAAAAATGCAAGACTCTCATCACTCTCCTGCAAGCCAAATTAGCAATGAATCATTAAATCTGCCCTAGTAAATTTTACAGCCTCACAAAGAGAGGAATAGCAGCTGAAACATCGAATTACCTAAGAGTCTGGTTCACTCTCTGAATCACTGTAGGGAGAGTTATAATCGCATTCCTTCATCCAATTTGAGGTGTCCACCTGATATTATCACATACAGGTAAGTGCAGGTCACTTTTTTCAAGGTTGCTGTGAATTAAAAAAGACACAAACAAAACAAATACTGACACTGAAGATAAATGAACAACAGACAAAATTCCATAAGTCACTGTCTACATATACACATCATGACAGGTTAATAAATGTACCACATAGTCCTCAAGTGGCTCAGTGACATTCTCCATGTGGTTACAAGAAATGAATTCTGTAATCCTCCCAGATACACACTTAAAAGGACAATTTAAAGTGAACACAATTGGTCAATGCGATTAACAAAAT